GGAAAAAAAAAGATCTTGCAAAGTTGGAATTGATTGATTGAACTTTTTAGTTCCACCCAGTCTGCCGTTACCACTGCAGCCACACCAACCTAATGGGCCACACCCACCCAATGGGCCACACCCACTCAATGGGCCACACCCACCCGGCACTCGATGATGCATAAGTGGGTTTTGGGTTGCAGTTTGGGCACTCGGTCTCTAAAAGGTTTGCCATCACTGCCCTATACCATTTCAGACAAATGGCTGTCCAGTCTCTTCTTAAAAACTTCCAGTGTTGGAGCATTCGCCGCTTCTGGAGGCAGGTTGTTCCACTGGTTAATTGTTCTCCCTGTCAGGAAGTTTCTCCTTAGTTCTAGGTTGCTTCTGGTTAAGTAGAGTCACAGAAGCAGGAGGCGTGAGCTTCAATGGACTCCAGTAGATGGTAGAGGACAGGAAGGCCTGGAGGAACGTTGTCCATGGGGTCGCGATGGGTCGGACACGACTTCGCAACTAACAACAACAACAAGAGTCGCCTTACAGGGAGACGGGGTGGCAAACAAAATTAATTAATTAGCAATAAATGTGTTTTTACTTAGCGGTAATAATAAAAACTACTTGTTCAGATATGAGATAGTAGATATTAAGAGAAAAAGATAGGAAGTATTAAATGTTGAAATAAGAGAAATCTTGGTTACTAAATTTAAGAAATTCGGAAATGATTAGAAAATAAGAATGTTATATTGTATTATTAACTAGTTGATGTAAGGTGGTGAGAATTCAAATAGATAAGATGTGTATCCTGAACATTAGATCTTGGGATGAATTGTGATGAAGGGAATTGGGGTTATGTAAAACCTGGAAATTATAAATATTAAACGCTAAATTTAAAGATTAATGGGAAACTAAAAATGGGAAAAAACTAATTAGTACATTGATTGTCTAAAAAGATGGAAGGTTAGAATTGTATTAGTTTAAATCTGAGACAGTAAATACCAAGGGGAGAGGAGAGGAAACGCTTAATGTAATAGTTTGAGATCTGTACTAAAGATATTTGTATGTTATTGAATTATTGATCAACTCAGCCGCCACGTTGCTTTTCAAATATTTAAATGTAAAAGTAGAACATCAGTACAATTTATTTTTTTTTAAAAATTAATTAATTAGCAATAGCTAATGGGATATATTGCTCAGATATTTTCTCCAACTGCTGTACAGATGTGATTTATCTCGTTCTATTATAGCCAGCAAAAAAGGGTTAGGAGCGCTTAGCTGCTGCGCTGGTATTTGTGGGTTTGTTCTTTCGCAGAATGCTTTGCACAGCTTTCCCTGGCGCGTTGGTAACTAGACGCATCTGTAGCTTCAAAGAGCTGTTCAACAACAACGCAATAACTGTTGTTCAGCTTTGTCCCTTGAAAAGGTTAAGCAATTTAAGCAGCAAGCAGAGTCGGAGAACTTCTTTTGTTACGCTGGCTCTTACCACAGCTTGATTGATGAAAGTTGTGTTGATTTGGAGAAAGGAGTTGGGCAGCCACACAACCAGATCTGCTACTGTTTTGTAACTTAAAGGGGGGGGGGGGAGAGTCTGGAATGTTCTAATTCTGCATTTTCCCAAAGGCTCCAGTGGGACACGATTCCGTATTACTTGTTTCTACTTTGGATAGCAGATGATGATGATGATGATGGTGGTGGTGGTGGTGGTGGTGGTGGTGGTGGTGGTGGTGGTGATGATGATGATGATGATGATGATGATGATGATGATGATGATAATAATAATAATAATAATAATAATAATAATAATAATAATAATAATAATAATAATAATAATAATAANGGCCTGATTGTATGACATTTTTTGCAGCCGTCGTTAAGCGAATTGCCACGGTCATTAATTGAACCTGCAGTCGTTAACCCAAAGCCACGGTTGTTAATCGAATCCATTGTTTGCTATGGAGTGCTTTTGCTGAAAACTGGAAGTAAAATGACATAAATCGCACTCACGGGACGCTGCAAACAGCCACAAATGCAGTCTGCTTGCTGAATGTCCAAAATATTCCCAGAGTTCTTAGCAGCAGCCATGCTGGCTGGGGAATCCTGGAAGTTGAGGTCCACACATCTTAAAAGTTGCCAAGGTTGAGAGAGACTGACATATTGCATTATTAACCCATGGTTTCTAAATCAACAGGTTATTGAAGAAGTCCTTTTGACCTAATTTGTACATACAGTAACTGTTTATAAACTGTAGTAGCTGGATTCACTGAATTTAGTAAGCCAAAATTAAAGAAACCCTCATCACAGGCCTCGTGCAAAGTTGGACTGGGTTTGCAGCTATATAGTGATCTTAGACCAAGGGTAGGCAACCTTGGCTCTTTTATGACTCGTGGACTTCAACTCCCAGAATTCCTGAGCCAGCCATGCTGAGGGGAAAAGGAGAGGTTTCCAAGCTGAGCCATGCTGGCTCAGGAATTCTGGGAGTTGAAGTCCACGAGTCATAAAGCGGCCTAGGCCTAGGCCAGAGATAGGTAACCTTGGCTCTTTTATGACTCGTGGACTTCAACTCCCAGAATTCCTGAGCCAGCATGGCTCAGCTTGGAAACTTTCCCTTTCCCCTCAGCATGGCTGGCTCAGGAATTCTGGGAGTTGAAGTCCACGAGTCATAAAACAGCCAAGGTTGCCTAGCCCTGTCTTAGACTCTTATATTGCTTTCATTTCAAACACTAAGAAAAAAAATATGTTGCTTATTTTTTTTGCAAATGATAAGGAAATTTATTTGCTTGCTTCTATCTTGTATTTTATTTTAATTTTAATTTGTTGTTTCAGTGGCTTTTATATACTTTGGATTATTACTATGTATGCCGCCCAGATTCACTTTATGAGACGGGCAGCTATTAAATAAATTACTATGTATGCCGCCCAGATTCATTCTATGAGACAGGCAGGATTAAATAAATAAATGGAAAATGAAAGCGTGAAAGCGGGCTTAAATCTTGCGGTGATAGGCTGGCTTTTGTTCTATCAACTTAGTCTCCAGTGGTGGGATTCAAAGAGGTGAACAACCGGTTCTCTGTGTGGATATCTCTTCCGGAAGCCCGTTCTGGGACTGGGCCACAAAAAATTAGCTGCCGGTTCTGTTGAAGTGGTGGGAACCGGCTGAATCCCACCCCTGCTTGTCTCACTTTACCAGATTTTCAGCAGGCCAAGATCCACATTTAGATAAGTTCAGCCTCATTCATTCTTTTGCTCGTTGCAGGTGGATAAAATTTGAAGAGAAAGTGGAACAAGGAGGAGAGAGATGGAGTAAGCCCCATGTTGCCACGTTGTCGCTTCACAGTTTGTTTGAACTGAGAACATGTATAGAGAAAGGCTCTATTCTGCTGGACCTGGAGGCCTCAACACTCCCTCAAGTCGTAGGTAAGTCTTAACAGAGAAGGAGCGTTCCACGCATAGCATCCTTGATGTAGATTTTAGAAGAATTGTTGGTCTTCTAAAGATTCTTGAGAACCCAATCTTGGGTTGATCACCGGGACCAGAGGTTTAATCTTCTGAGCTTTCGGACTCATGAATGTGTCCATCAGAAGGTGTAGAGATTCTCATTCTTGAGAATCTTCTAAACGACTAAAGATCTGTTCCAGTACTTGAAGAGCTGTCACAGGGAAGAGGGTGTTGATTTATTCTCCATAGCACCTGAGGGCAGGTCAAGAAGCCATGGGTGGAAGCTCCTCAGAGGGAGATCCATCCTGGAACTAAGGAGGAATTTCCTAAGAGTGAGAATAATTAATCAATGGAACAGGTTGCCTCCAGTGCTTCATCAATGGAGGTTTTCAAGAAAAGAGTTGTCCAAGATGATGTGAGGATTCCTACCATGGACAGGGGGTTGGACTAGAAGACCTCCAAGGTAAGGTCCCTTCCCCCCTACGACTCTATGGTTCTATGAATATGATGTTGCATTTGCGAATGAAAGTCTAGGTTCCTGATCTCTCCTCATTGTTCAATAGACTTAAATGGTCCATCAAGAGAAATCACCTATGGCAGTGGTGGCGAACCTATGGCACTCGTGCCAGAGGTGGCACTCAGAGCCCTCTCTGTGGGCACGCACGCCGTCGCCCCAGCCCCGCTACTCCCCGTGGCCCCCTCCTCACTAGCAGCCCCCCCGGAGGAGAGTCGCCCCGGGAGCAGCCTGCGCAGAGCAGCGCAGCCAAGGACATGGCAGCCGGGCAGCGGGGACAAGACTCCGTCCTCGTGCCCCATCGTGGTCAAATGATGCTGCAGGGCGTGGACAGAGGGCGTGACCGCCATGACGCTGCTGGACTGCCTGGGCGATCTGCTGTGGAGGCGGTGGGTGGACCTACGGGCATGAGAGGCAGGGACGGAGCAGGGGCGAGGCAGTTTTGGGGCACTCGGTCTCTTTTTTTTTTTTATAAACAATTTTTATTATTTTCCATTTTACACCAGCAGAAGCTTAAGAACCAGCGTGGAGATATGGTGGTCAATTAAAAAAAAGAATAACATTATATGTATACAATTCACACAATATTTCTTAAAACTTCCCTCTCTATCTATGTAGAATATTATAATCAATTACATTCAAATAAATTCATTCATTAATATATCTAAATATAAATTTCCTTAATCAATAAAAACTTTCAACCGCTCAATATCAATATAATAATTAAATTAGTACAATCCTATAGCCAATTCATTCATTAATATATCGCTATATCAAAACCAACTCTCCTATTTAAGTTATTGGAATCTCATTAGTACATTTCTAAGACAGATTTTCATTAAGTATATTGCCAGATATAAATTTCATTAGTCAATAATCTTTTACGAAAGCTCCTTATCTATCCCAGAATCCTGTTTTAAACTTTATTAATTTTTCCAAATATTTAAGTTTAAGCTAACCTAATTATTTAACTATTTCAGGGGCCCCCAATTTCTCTTATTTAAAAATATTAGCTCCAACACTAAATTCCTACATTTCTCAACTATATTTCTATTCTTTTTCAATAATTCTCTTATTATTAATTCCATCTCATTCCAAAACAAAAACCACAAACAGGAAAAGAAAAGAAAAAAACATACACACAAAGAAAAAACACATATTCTGGCTATACTTCAATATTAAATTCTAAATCATTTCATAATAGCCTCCCATTTAAGGCAAACCAAATCCAGGACAATCCAAATCGCTATAAAACCTTCTAACACTCCGTCTCTTAAAGGTTCGCCATCACTGACCTATGGGAACTGAAAGCTGCTAAACTCAAGAGTTTGAGGCTCTCTAGCACTCTTAGTGATTTATTGAAATTCTACCAGATTCAGGACAGTTATGCAAAAGCAATTGGACTCTATTCAAGAAAAGCCATGTTTTGTTCTCCTTTTTTTTTAAAAAAAAAAAACCAAACAGCTCACTCTTAAACAAGAAAGATAAGTGGGCTTCATCTCATGTACTTATTTGTTTAATGTCCATTGTTTACAGTTAGTTCCACAGCTAAAGAAAACAAGTGATTCCTGTCTTTACAAGGCAAGAAGGTGTAATTGTTTCTAATAAATTTGTACTTACTGTCACTTGTCAAATTAAAATCCAGAGGTTTTAATAAAAGAGGAAAGTAGGGGGAAAGTTGGAATCTAATAACAAAAGAAACGAAATCAAGTGTTTTTGTATGCTGAAAACATTTCAATAACCCTGAGGAATCTCAGTAGAATATAAATAACCTTGAGGAAAGAGAAACTGTAATATTAAATTAGTAATGTCAGCTTCTAGATATTGAAGCAGAAGAAGAATCAACCAGCTATAACTATAGAATAAAATGTCCCAACCATATTCTGGTGTTTGTTTTTGTTTTTTTTAATGCTTATGACTGATTTGGGGGAAATTATATCACCTGAAGTTTATTACAGTTGGTGTTGTATGTTTATGTAAGTTCTTTTATTTCTGTTGTAAATTGCCCCGGGAATAATGAATAGCTGTACAACAGAAGTTATGAATACATAAATTACATAGAATAAATTAAATTCCTAGTTTGAGTCGGTTGAGCCTCGAGTGCACTTGCAAGAGGTGATGTGTTGAAAAATATAAAAGAATAACACAGTTGGGAGGGACCTTAGAGGTCTTCTAGTCCAATCCCCTGCTCAAGATGAGGCCCTATATCAGGGGTAGGCAACCTTGGCTCTTTTATGACTCGTGGACTTCAATTCCCAGAATTCCTGAGCCAGCATGGCTCAGCTCGAAAACTCTCCCTTTCCCCTCAGCATGGCTGGCTCAGGAATTCTGGGAGTTGAAGTCCACGAGTCATAAAGGAGCCAAGGTTGCCTACCCCTGATGTAGTCCCTTAGAACAGTGATTCTCAACCTTGGCCACTGTAAGAAGAGTGGACTTCAACTCCCAGAATTCCTGAGCCAGCCATGCTGAGGGGAAAGGGAGAGTTTCCAAGCTGAGCCATGCTGGCTCAGGAATTCTGGGAGTTGAAGTCCACGAGTCATAAAAGAGCCAAGGTTGCCTACCCCTGCCCTATATCATTCCGGACAAATGGCTGTCCAATCTCTTCTTAATAGAAATTTAATATATAAAATATACAAATATGAAAGAATAATATTGCATGATAGTGTGACTGGGCTGGTTACAAAGGTGGTAGACATAGTGACAATTCCAATTTTGGGGCAGCTGAATTTTGATATGTGAAGAAACGGTCTTAGTTTGCACCGTAAATCAGAGGTCCCCAACCTTTGGGGCACCAGGGACCGGTTCTCTGGAGAGAGGTTTTTCCACGGACCGGAGATGTGTGGTTTTGTGTGCTGCCTGCATCCCACGGACGGGGCTTTGCTTGTTTGTGCGGACCGGTTGCTGGCATGCCGCGGCCCGATACTGGTCCACGAACCGGAGGTTGGGGACCCATGCCGTAAATTGCCCAGGTAGTTATTTTGTGGCAATGTAATATGCATGTTGTCATTAAAGTCTCTTCCCCTCACAGAGATGGTTGTTGACAACCAGATTGACACTGGGCTGCTGAAACAAGACATGAAGGACAAAGTCATCTACACGCTGCTCAGGAAGCATCGTCATCAAACCAAGAAATCCAATCTCCGTTCGTTGGCCGACATTGGAAAGACTGTCTCCAGTGCAAGTAGGATGTTAACCAACCCTGATAATGGTAATGCAGAGGCCGGTGGGATGTGGCCTTCCCATAGGGACACACTGAAAAACTAGCTCCCCTCTCAGCTAATCCACGAGCAGCTTAGCAGATCCTACTGATCCATTGATCAGTTATGGATTCTGAAGGCTTATAGTGCTGGGGTGCATGGCTCTAACACAGGGGTGTCAAACTCAATTTCATTGAGGACCGCATCAGCATTGTGGTTGCCCTCGGGGGGCCGGGTGGGTGCGGCCTACTGGGTGGGCGTGGGTGGAGTGGATGTGGCCTACTAGGTGGGCGTGGCCAGCTCTACATCATTCGCGTCAAGGGTGCCTGTGGGGGCCTGGGCAGGAGTGGGGCAGATCTGAGGGTCTCTGGCAGAAGGGGGTGGGACCGGGGCAAGCGCCAAGGCATGGTCCATTTCTTCATTCTTCACAAAGGGTGACATCTGCCCAGCATGCACCCAGGGGGCGGGGGCGACGCGGCAGGGGCTGGTTCCTCACTGTTTCCAGACGGCCTTGTGGAGTTAAGACTGAAGCGTTTCAACATAGATGGCCACCACAAAATTGTACATTGGCTCCCGGCCGGCCTGGGCCAGGGCCAAGGCAGCGGGGGCTGTTCCCTCACTGTTTCCAGGATGGCTTCGCGGGCCACATGAAACCACTTCATGGGCCACATCCGGCCCCCGGGCCTTGTGTTTGACATGTCTGCTCTAACACGTCTCGGCTGCAGCCTGGGGATTGCTGGGGAAATGCTTTGCTTTAATTAGCCTTGGCCCGTGCCGAAATGCAGCGGTATCCGCAGGGAAGAATGACAAAAACTGCGTTGTGGTGCCGCCCATTTTAGCGGTGCCGGTGTGGATGTCTCGTTGCATGGCCAGGCCTAAAAGGTGGAGCTTGCAACACATGGGAGAGGGTAGCACTATTTTCCTCTTTTGAGAAAAAGCTACGTTTACAATTGTTGGAAGGTTTGAGGTACAGCTTGCAAAAATTTCTATCCCTGGAGAGAGGAGAGAGTCAAAACTAAGCATACGAAGGCTGCGTAGTTCAAATGACCTGACTCATAAGATGAACTTCTAGAGCAGGGGTAGGCAACCTTGGCTCTTTTATGACTCGTGGACTTCAACTCCCAGAATTCCTGAGCCAGCAGGGCTCAGCTTGGAAACTTTCCCTTTCCCCTCAGCATGGCTGGCTCAGGAATTCTGGGAGTTGAAGTCCACGAGTCATAAAAAAGCCAAGGTTGCCTACCCCTGTTCTAGGGTTTCCTCTCCAAATGTCTGCATGTCTTTGGCTTTGAAGAAACATGCAGGATTAAACTAAATTCTTGCCCTATTAAATCCGGAAGGAAGTCTGATTTTATTTATTCGTTTTGGAATGCGCAGGGGGCCACCCAGCACGTGGTCATTTTCTGTGCTTCCTAGTGAAAACTAGTTTCCTGCTCTTTACACTTCAAGGAACTTTACTTCAAAAGCACAATTCAGCGCATCCAACGAATGAATCAAAACACTCCTAGAATTTAGTATAATGCAATATTCAGTTAAATTACCAATAAAAAAAATAATCCCCAGCTGGAAAGAGCTACAACCGTCGTTGCCTATTGTGAGTTAACACAAGTTTGCATGAGGTTTTATTTGGGTTTTCAGGGGTTTAAGACAGGGGTCTTCAAACTTGGCCCTTTTATGACTTGTGGACTTCAACTCCCAGAATTCCTCAGCCAGCGTGCCTGGCTGAGGAATTCTGGGAGTTGAAGTCCACAAGTCATAAAAGGGCCAAGTTTGAAGACCCCTGGTTTAAGAAGACCCCACATTCCATGTATTATATTTTTTAAGTATCTTGTTAGAATATACTGTAAGCTGCTATGTGATTCCTGGAAGAATTTAAGAATTAAGACTTTTATTAACAGTGTTCTGAACAATCCACTATAGATCTTGAGAACTATGCAGGCATCCGAATTTTGATCATGGTGGAGTTACAATGGTTGTGTGAAAAAAGAGTCATACCACTTTTTTCAGAGATAGGCAGGGACAGATGCTTGATAAAACCGATTTTAAAGTCTGTTTTTTCCCCCTCCAAGATTATAATTATGGGGAGCTGGTTTTCAAAAATCTAAATCAGAAAAAAATGACAGAACAGATGTTTGACCCATAAGGTGCAGAACATATTAGAAATACTTGAACTTGTACAATTTTCCAGGACCTGGAGATTAGATACAATTTGAAGATTTAGTACACCTGTACATTTTCCCTCTAAAAAGCTTTTTTTTTTCAATAGGAAAGATGATGAAAACCTCATGAACTTAATCCAGAAAGTAATACTCTTATCACTTTTGTAAGATGGAAATTGCGACGAGGACAATAATAGCATTATATCCCTTAAAAGAAAATGACACTTTCTCTGAAATGATAACATACCTCTAATTTGCTTCTTTTCTCAGAGACAAATTGGATTTGTACTTTTCAAAAGATTTTCTTCCTAGCCTAAGTGCTGCAGAACTAGGATATGAGCGAATCAAAGAGGAAAATAGACAAGAGTTTAAAAGTGATAAGACTGTAGAAGAAGAAAAAATAATAACACCATGATTTAAGAGTGAACAAACTAGTTTCTTAAATACAGGATTATAATTTCCTAAAAGCCAACTATTATTAATAAAATAAGAGAAGATAGTAACAAGTTTAGTAGCCATGTTAGAAATGAGAAACCTAAGTGATCCTGTTTCGCTTATTTAGGCTAAAACAAGAGTTTGAAAACAAAGTATCATTTATTTATCACAATTACTTATTTAAGCTGGAGGTGGTTAAAAATGTATCAGGAAGGTTGCAATTGTCATTAAATTGGATTGACTGACTGGAAGGGCAGGTCAACGGGATTTTATTCTCGAAATGTTATCCTGCTTGTAGCTAAATAATACAGAAACTTGAAAATTAAAGCGAGAGAAAAGAACAGAAGGAGGGGATTGGCAGGTTAAAGGGAGCAAGCTAATGAGTCATTATCACGTTATTTTAAGCGATACAAAAAGGGACACGTTTTTATTCATTGCCAACATAACGCGCTGGAATAACACGAATAACACATTTCCAAATGTTCAGGTACAAATTGTTTTTTCCCCCTCATGCGGGGCATTTCACAGCGTGCATTCGAATCCAACAATAACCAGCAAAATGTGGGCCAATCTATATTTTGGGCTATAGTATCTTCTGTGATGAGTTATATAAAATAATGTGTGTGAAAGGTTTTTTTGCATTTGTTTCAGTTTTGCGGGTATCCTGACAAGAATAAAACCAACAGGCTGTGCTCAGAAATTTAGCCAAAAAACATCTTAGGTCACTGAACTCAGTTGTCCTTATTGAGAATGTATTAAGTAGGGAAAGTTAAAATTTAGTCGAGAGAAGAGATACATCACCCAAGTAGTATTATATTGACCCTGGTTTCATTAAACATGAAATAATAATCCTCCTCCTCCTCCTCCTCCTCCTCCTCCTCCTCCTCCTCCTCCTCCATCTCCATATAATCATCATTACCACCATCATCTTGACTTTTTTAAAAAACCTGAACATTTTTTGAAAAAAACCCTCTGTTACATCATCTAAAATGGTTTGATTGAAGCTTGTACCTTGAATGTAATCCAAATCTCAGACGTTTTAATAATCCGGTGTTATAAATATGATACTTATAGACCAGATGGGAACATGATGGCTCAGTGGTTAAACTCTCTGAGCTTGTCAGCTGGAAAGCTGACGGCCCAGGTTCAAGTCCTGAGCGCCATGCAATGGGGCGAGCTCCTGTTACTTGCTTCCGCTCCCACCCGCCTAGCAGTTCCAAAGCAGGCGAATGCGAGTACGGTAGATAAATAGGTACCACTTTGGTGGGAAGGTAACAGCGTTCTGTGCACTTCAGCCTATAGCCATGTTGGCCACATGACCACGGAAGTGTCTTAGGAGACTATTGGCTCCCTCAGCTACGAAATGGAGATGGGCACTGCCCCTTAGAGGCAGACACAACTGGATAGGACAGGGGTAGGCAACCTTGGCTCTTTTATGACTCGTGGACTTCAACTCCCAGAATTCCTGAGCCAGCCATGCTGAGGGGAAAGAGAGAGATTTCCAAGCTGAGCCATGCTGGCTCAGGAACTCTGGGAGTTGAAGTCCACCAGTCATAAAAGAGCCAAGGTTGCCTACCCCTAGGATAGGGGAAACATTTACCTTTATGGATCAAACCTGGGCATTTTATGGCCCCGGGCCACCCCTGGACCTTGGTTGTCCCTGTCTGGCCTGTGTGAATTTCTTTTATTTTGAAAGGGACTGCTATTTTTTTTTTTAATTTATGTACGTTTGTGTGTGCATGACCTAGGCACCTACACAATCCTATTTGGTTTGGACCTCCACAATAGTTTCTCATGTGGCCTCTTGGGAAAATTAATTGCCCACCCTTGCTATAAATGGTATTCTACCACTCAGTGTTTTAGCACCCCAATTGTCCGAATTTAGCTGGCCACAAAAGCTGGGATTTCAGAGCTGAAGCCCCCAATATCTAGAAGTCAGAAGGTTGGAAATGAATATGATGTATTTATGGGTCTCCTTTTTTTTCTTGGGATTGTTAGGAACATATAGGCTTTTACTTCATCTTGCAGGAATATCGTTATTTATAGCTGCTCTTTATTTCTAGAATGCTGTGGGAAATTAAATGTCAAAATAACTAATTCTGCTCATTTGTTTTGGAGAGCCAGCCCCCCAAAATACAGTTGAGTGTTTCTCTCTAGAACTTAGGCATCTGCTAATCTTTCAGTTGCGGTGATTAACCTTGTGGTTTCAAAAGGTTTTCATGGCCCAGGAAAAAGACTTCGGTTTTTAAGGGTGACCATTGTTCCTTTATTACTCGAGGTAGGATACCTGGATTTGGTGGCCTCAGCTCACCTGTAGTTTGGGAGAAGCTTTTCCAGTTCAGAGATGAGGTGAACCTATAGAGTAAATGATACAATATCATGCAAATAGCCATAGGACTTTGCATCCTAGGCCAGTGGTG